TGAACTAATCAGACAAATTACGTTTATTTGCTGTTCCACTCCAATAATCTGGGGGTGTAGTGACTGGGGTGGTCACCCCTGCTGAGCTGGTCTTCTTAAGGTCGGCCCCCCGCTGACTGTTAGCTGCTGCTCGTCACCCTCGGACCACCCAGATTATTGTCCTGCATTTTCCTGGAAGGTCTAACTAGTTTTTATCTCCTCAAACAGATTTTAAATGCATTTGGTCTTTTATTTTGGAAAATCAATTAAGACAAATATTCCAAGCAATCGAGAGAAAATAAAAATGATGACTAGACTTGATATTAAATGATTTAGTTGAGAATTCTGTTGCAGACACTGTGCTAGATTAGTTACATCTGTATAACTATATTAACTATAACTATAGCTGTATAATATATGATATTGCTGCTAAAATTATTTATTAAACTAATTTATAAAGGATAACAAAAGAAAGAAATGAAGGAAAAATAAGTAAATTGGACTGTGAGTGAAAAATGAGCGATGAAAGGTGGAATTTTACTCAGCTTAAGCATCAGTGGGCCGCCTGGAAAACACTGAGCTAAAAGCCGTCAATGGAACAACAGTGGCCCTCTATCCTCTTACTATCTGGGACCCCTGATCAAAATCACTCAGTGTTGGCTATATATACTTGTGTGTTTGTACTATGTATGTTTATAGATTACAGTGAGTCATACAGTGTCAGAAACCACAGAATCAAGACTGTCAGAGACACTGAACAACGTTTCGAGGCAAATGTGTGATGATTTAGGCCTGCAGTTTAACTCGATGCTAAGTGACTAACGCTAATAAACGCCCAATAGCTACATTAGCCTCGTAGCTCCAGTGCAAAGATGTAAAGAAGTAAACCTCAGACAACATAGATCAGTTTTTAAGTCTACTTCCTTCCATTTCACTCTCAGGTGAATCTGATTTACTCATCAGAGAATTTTGCAGAAATTTATGGAGTCCATGTTGTCATTAAAGGAAAAGGGGGACACAACACCAAATACCCGGAGATTCTGGAATTCATGTAAATATTCAAAGACTCTACTTTTTACTCAAATTGTAATATTCTTTGTAATGAAAAACTGCATTGTATTGTACTTTGTAGAAAGGAGTGCACAACAGAAGCATTTTGAGTATTCTCAGACTTTTTGGTTTTTGGTGCCCACTAAATATATATATATATATATATATCTTTCAGAGGCAAAAATAAGGAGTTTACTTCTCTGTATGTAAAGGACTAGCTCGAAAATCAATATTGGATGGCAGTGACCTTTGGCCCCTCAGGCTCACTGCACCAAAAACAGACATGATACTGCAGTGTTAATCACTGCATGGGCTCAGAAACACACCTGAAAATAAACTGGATCCTGAAACACCGCCGCCTTCTCTGGGCCCAAGCTCATTTAAAATGGACTGAGGGGAAGTGGAAAAGTGTCCTGTGGTCCAACAAATCAACATTTGAAATTCTTTTTGGAAATCATGGACACTGTGTCCTCCAGGCTAAAGACAATCATGCATGTTATCAGTTCACAGTCCAAAAGCCAGTATTCATGATGGTGTAGGGGGGCATTAGTGCACATGGCATGGGTGACGTGCACATCTGTGAAGGCACCATTAATGCTGAATGATATATACATGTTTTGGCAACATATGCTGCCATCCAGACAACATCTTTTTCAGGGAAGGCCTTGATTATTTCAGCAAGACAATGTAAAACCACATTCTGCATGTATTACAGCAGCATCGCTCCATATTAAAAGAGTCCAGGTGCTAAACTGGTCTACCTGCAGTCCAGACCTGTCACCACTGAAAACATTTGGAGGGTTGAAATGAAAAAAAACGATAAAAGAGACTCTGAACTGTTGAGCAGCTGAAATCCTATAACAAGTAAAAATAAGAAAAAAATTCACTTTCAAAACTACACCAGAGGTGATGAAACACCCCCGTCCCAACTTTTTTGGAACGTGTTGTTGGCATCAAACTCAAAATGGGCATATATTTTAAAAAAAAAAACAATAAAATTGTTGTCTTTGTAGTTTCTTCCTTTAAAATATGGTTTACATGATTTGCATATCATTGCATTCTATTCATATGTACATTCTGCACAGCGTCCCAACTTTTTTGGAAATGGGTTTGTAAATATACATTTTCAAAACTCAATTAAAAACCTTTATTTGTTTGTTGTTTAGTTTTTTTTTGGCCATCAGCCCACAAAAATATTACACTGTAGCTCCCAAACATAAAAGTTTTGCTACTCCTTTTTGTTGAGGTTGGCTTTCTACTCAAATTTCCTGTTCAGCCTTAAATGGTGCAGCAGTAACACTCAGGCGCCGCTCAGGCATGTGGCCACTTCATGAGAACAAGGTAATAGAAGGTGGGTGTTTCCAGTAAAGCGGCCAGTTAGTGGAAGTATAAAGGAGGTGTTTCTAATAAAGTGGCCAGTCAGTGGCCATATAACATAACATAAAACAGCAGCTTCTTAATAGAATTTCCTGTTCAGAATGTAACTGCTGCACCGTTTAAGGTGGAATGGGAAATTTGATTAAGACGCTGGTGAATAAGACGCTGACTGGCGTCTGGGTATCCTTTGTTATCTGACTCATGCACTGAGCCCATGCACTGAATCTCACTCACGTATTTGTGAATCACTCAGGACACTGAGACATTCGCACACCCCAACCATGTGAAGCATTCCTGTGTCATTAGCTGGAGCGATCTGAGCCCATCCCAGAACTGCAGTGCCGGAGGGCCTGCAGCCACACCCAGAGAGGAGGAACATTCTGGAAGAGCTGCACTCACATTCACTCATTAATCACAATGAGCCACAAGAGGCGCTACCTAACAGATTTAACCACATTAAAGGGCCTTTTCTTGTATTTCACTTTTTCCCCTCCTACCTACACGTAATGACGTGTTTGTGCATTCAGTTTTACATGACCACTTTCCAACTTCTCTGTATCCCTTAGGCTGCTTTTGTAACTGTGCTGGTGTATGTAAATGAGCTATGTTCTGACTGGCTGCCCTGTGTTTTTCATTTAATTTTTAACTACAGTGCCGTCCTGGATATTATTTTTGTTATGACTTCATTCTGGATAGCATATTTTGCTCAGTGGAAAACTGTATTTGTACATGAACCCTGTTTGACCTCAGTGACCCCAACATGTTTTTCTTATAAAAAATCCAAGATATTGAACTCAACATTTCAAGTTAACCCAGTTATTGTCCAGTTACTGGAAGCACAAGGAAGGTGTTTCTAATAAAGTGGGCAGCTAGTGGAAGCACAAGGTGGGTGTTTCTAATAAAGTGGCCAGTGAGTGGAAGCACAAGGCGGGTGTTTCTAATAAAGTGGCCAGTGAGTGGAAGCACAAGGTGGGTGTTTCTAATAAAGTGGCCAGCTAGTGGAAGCACAAGATATGTGTTTCTAATGAACTGGGCAGTTAGTGGAAGCACAAGGTGGGTGTTTCTAATAAAGTGGCCAGTGAGTGGAAGCACAAGGTAGGTGTTTCTAATAAAGTGGCCAGTGAGTGGAAGCACAAGGTAGGTGTTTCTAATAAAGTGGCCAGTGAGTGGTAGCACAAGGTGGGTGTTTCTAATAAAGTGGCCAGCTAGTGGAAGCACAAGGTGGGTGTTTCTAATAAAGTGGCCAGTTAGTAGAACCACAAGGCAAGTATTTCTAATAAAGAGGGCACAAGGAACGTGTTTCTAATAAAGTGGCCAGCGAGTGTACACGATGCACAAATAAAAACGTACAGTGATACAGCTGTTACTATGTATGGCTCAAATAAAGGTTCTTGAATTACCCTCAAATATAGCTTGACCCACAAGCCCCCTGTCCACAGGGAAAACTGCCGGGGCTACTGAAACTGGTGCAACGCTCTGAAGTCTCTGCACATGCTCAGTAAACTGCTCCGGGATCGTTCCTCTGAGGTTCGATGGCCCACTTGCTGTTCCCGTTAAACAGCAGAGCGACTGAAGGGTGACGACCAAGGCAGAGGACACCAAACGGGACGTCATTCAAACTTAAAGGGCCCACATCATGGAAAACTGATGAAGCATATTTTGAATACCCTGTTTTTGTGATGTCACAAAAACGACAAATCAGTGTATCTATGCATGTCTTCCTATTCAGCCAACAGCTGTTTAGCTCCACCAGTTCACACTGAAGTTATAAGGAGTGTTTCAGGCCAGACTGCTTTTGAATGCAGGCATGGCCAATCACAACAGAGCTCATTAGAATATACCAGTCTTAAAGGCACAGTAACAAAGACAGCCTAACAGTTTAAGGGATTAAAAAAGGTAAGAAAATAGTCATGTAAAAATGAGGTATGGTTTTTTTTTTTTGGTACATAAAATCGCAAAAATGTTCTATATGGATCTGGGGGGTGTAAATTGCAAGAAAAACATATGGGCTTTTTAATACATCATATTGCAGTAAACTATAAGTGAATATACTTTTTATATCAAGTCTTGTAGCCGTAAGGCATTGATCTGAATGGGAAGGAAGCCATCAGACCATTAGTGATGATCTGGTGAAAAATGAAACTTCTAAAAAAGGAAGTAAAGGAAACTTACAGCTAACTAAACTGTCAAAAACTTGCCTGAAACCATGTGGAGTTCAGTAAACGCTAACTGAATTCTGTGAACTGTTCACAGTGGTGGTGATAGGAACCAGACGTCCACCTCTAAAAGCTCCTCACAGAAAGTTACTACATGAAATGGTTATGAATTCACTGCCTGATGACTGAGACACTGTTTTATGGCAGTTTTGAGAAGATTTTGGCCTTAAAATCCATTCATGGTGGAGGGATACATAATATGCAGGGTGTTGTGAGGCAAAATAGTCCCCAAAGAAAACTTATTATTTCAGATTTTCCACTATTTTCCATCAAACATTCCATATAAAACTCAGAAGACTCATGTAGGTTCACTGGTGGTTTTAGATGGTAAATAAACCAAACAAATAGTCCAGAAAGAAGAGAACAGGAGACGCTGAGCATTGTGTCTTCGTTTTATTTCACTGAAATCACGTCCCGCCCCAGTAAGAATGAAGAATTACGCTTGGTGTTCTGTATGAAAAAGACACGACTCTACTGTAGCTAGCCCAAACAGCGACAACCTCCGTTTACCCTGATTAACTGCCCTCCGCCACATGCATTCTAGGCGAGTATCAAAAGACCAAAAAAAAACGTAGTACAAAAAGAAACACTCCTAACAGTGACTAGATAGATAAGCAAGCTCATGTAAAAGTCTTACTGCTGAAAAGTTACAGTATAAGCAACAAAATGCATCAAGTCCTCGTTTGCACTCGTGCTGTACCTCGGAAAAAAAGGCGATGCACATCATGTAGAGAAACGAACCGGAAGAAAAACGGACAAACATCCTTTTCTGTCCCTCAAAAATGTTTCATTTCATGACTTGTGAAGGAACACGACTGCAGTCTAAAGCCCACGCCAGCCCAATGTCTAAACACACCCCTGAACAAGCTCACTCACTCTCACTCACTCACTCACTCGTTCACGTTGGTTTCTGGGTGTAAACCACAGATCCGTCAATGTTTTCACGTAAATATGAAGCACATATACATACATTTACTAAAAAACACCCTCTCCCTCGCTTTTGTGTAGGGCTGCACAATATATCGATTCTTAATAGTCACTGCGATACCGATATCGCAGAAGCAGAGCTGAAATATTCATCACTTTTATTTTGGAATCGCAAATTTAAAAGTGTAGCTTTCTATTATGGCCACATTTGCAGTGTGTTTTAACCTAAGAAGCATATCAACTGCTTGTAGATGAATTAGACCAATCAGGAGCAACCAAACATGATGACATCACAACTACAACTAACTGGCTGGGTCCAGTGTTTGAGCCTGAAGCCAAAAAAGTGGACTTAACAGGCCTTGGACTTTAAATTAGAGAAAATAATCACAAAATTTTCACCCCAGTCACAATATTGGTCCCAAAAATTGTTCAGCCCTACGTTCCAATATGCAAATGAGCTCACATTGTCTATAATTTATTCAAAACATCTGACAAACGTGAATGATTTTGGGTCACACTAATGCCAGATTTTTAACACCATCAAAAATGTGCCAATTTAGTTTTAATACAGTCGTATGCAAAAATTTCAACACATAAATGTGACATTTTGTGCACATTTTATTACACGGTTTCTATTCATTTGCCAAGTTTAACATATTGCAAAAAACAAATATACATATAAAAATGTATAAGTGCCACAGCTTTTACACAGGCCACGTTTTATTTGTTTCCAGTATGTTAAATTCAGTAAATGAGCAGTAATTGTGTATTAAAATGTGCAGAAGTGTCTCTGCAGAGGACGAACAAACCATGTTGCACATGACTGTACACTGCAAGGCGTATCACAAACGCAATACGTAGCAAATTAACCGCAATATTGTGTGCTGTTTATAATCGTGCAGCCCTACTTTTGTGCCAGAGGAACCGTAAGATCTCCAGACAGACCCCTGCCCAAATTACTCACACTCACACACACTCGCTCAGTCACACTCTGGTACAAACACACACACGCAGACGGCAGAGGCTGGTGAGGAGTAGAGAGCAAGTCTCTCAGTGTTCTTTGAAGCGCTGACAGGGGTTTCTGGCCTTAGTTTTCTCGGCCCTCTTCCGTGTCCTCAACGTCGGCCTGATTGTCTGAGGTCCACAGCTGAAAAAGAGCAGGAGAAACAGCGTCGTAAGAGGGGGCAGGTGTGGGTGGGCTGGGTAAGTGAGAGAAATGTTAAAGGGTCTGTATCCTACACTTTCATTTTACTGTAATTATGCCCCCTTTCAACCTCTCTGTATCCCTTAGAATTAGACGGGCTGTTTGTGTTACTGTGCCTTTAAGACTGATATAAGGACCATTCTACTGAATTAGGTCACTATGATCTATTTAAATCCAAGGCATTAATAGAGAGAGTAATAAGCTAAATATATACACAATTATCATTTATAGGGTCCTTTCTATTGTGAGGTGTCTGTTCCAAACCCTAACCCCCTAAATGTTGTATTTTTTTTCAATTCTATTTTTTTTTAAGACTGTTTTGATTTATTTTGAAGTTGTTTTGATTCATCACAAGTTTAATTTTGAAATAAAAAAAAAAACAAAAAACTGTTTTCTTGTCACTACTAAAACATAGTTTTAGTATGTGGGCGGAGCCTTATTTTAGCCACGCCCCTGCATTTTAGAGCAGGGAGTGAGGCTGCATCCCTGTCCCTCATGGCCACATGGTGAGCAGTTAGATCCCATTGTTTTGAAGTAAATGTGTCCCAAAGTCTGAAAGTCAGTGTGGAACATTAAGAATCGTCATGTTTTCCGCAGTTCAGCACTTTTTAGTGTTTTAATGTGAAATATGATGATTTTCTGTGTGAACAGCTGTTCAAAGCTGTGTTTGCTGGTCATGAACTGGCTGAGTTTCTGAGCTCAAAATGAGCTAAAATTGTCACCAAAACAGTCACTACCGAAACAGCCACTACCGAAACAGTCAGTAAACTTTGGGTAGAGTTATGACTGTTTTGGTAGAGACCAAATGGAAGGTTCAATCATTTGTTTTAATAAAATAGGATTTTAGTCTGAAGTCCAAGTTCAGTTAAAAGTGTATCAGCTCCAACTTTGAATCAGTTCAGTAGAATGATCCATATATGTAAATGAGCTCTGTTCTGATTGGCTGTGCCTCATTCAAAAAGCAGTGTGGGCTGAAACACTCCTTACAACGTCTGTGTGAACAGGCGGGGCTAAACTGCTGTAGGCTGAAAAGGTGGATGAATAAATGTGTTGGCTTTGAGACGTCACAGAATTCAAAACACTGTTTTTGAAGTTTAGTTTATAGTTTTAGTTTTAAAACATAGCATTTACAGACTGTATGTACTGCAGAGTGAATTTCTGAAACATGCATTTCGAAAAATTTGAAACTTTAAGCACTGTTTATGTATTACATCACAAAAAAACAACAACAAAAAAACCCAACAGCTTGACAAACAACTTTGCCAAAATTTACTCCTCAAAGAAAGAAAATGCTCACATTTCCCAAACATTCATTTTTAAATAGCAGATTTAAAGTTATATAATTAAAGAGGTGATAGATAAAACGTTAAAGAGCCCATAACACTGACAATAGACTTTTTCCTTGTTTTCTGTTTGATGTACCACGTAAACACTGCATGTTTTAAAATGTACAAACATTTAAATTAAAGCTACGCTGCAAAAACAGCCTCATTATTTTTATGTCATCATAAAAAACCAACATATTTACATATATCTGCTTATTCAGCCTACAGCAGTTTAGCCCCGCCCACTCACACTGAAGCTATAAGGAGTGTTTCAGCGCAGACAGCTTTTTGAATGAGATACAAGGCAGCCAATCAGAACAGAGCTCATTTACATACATCAGTTTTAAAGGCACAGTGACAAAATCAGCCTGTTTAATTCTAAGGGACGAAGAGAGGCTGGAAGGTGTTTTTTGGTTCACAGAAATATCATAAGTGGAGCTGAGAGAGAAAAAAATAAACATTTCACACATTTAACAGATAAACAGATGAACTCACTGTCAGATTGTCTCTTAGTAACTGCATGATGAGCGTGCTGTCCTTGTACGAGTCCTCAGTTAACTGGTCAAGTTCAGCAATCGCATCGTCGAAAGCCTGAAAATCAAAACGTTTATATTAACAACCGTCAAAAAAAAAGCAAAGAGTCAGAGTTACTGCATAACCATGTAACCAGAACTGTAATCAGGATGTATAAACACAAAGCAGGATCAGCCAGACAACTTACACAGCAATTCACATGACAGTTCACATGTTTGTACAGTATTAAACCTGACTGTTACAATAAACATTCAGTAAAGCTTGAATTAAAAATATAAGATTTAAATACGATCAAACCGAGAGGACTTTTGGGTTTTTGGTTGGAGTGACGTTATCTAGACATCTCACTTCAGTCTGGCTCCTTTTCTCTGTCTGAAAGGGTTAAAAACTCGTCTCTGGTGTCTATTTTATGCTGACTGAAGACAGAATTGCAGTTTTTTTCATGATTCTTTTCTTTGACGGCTGAGGTCAGAGTTACAGTAATGCCAGCTTGTTTGTATTCATTAGCCTATAGCCATATTAGCAGGAAGTGAGGCTGTGTCCCTGTCCCTCACGGCCACATGGTGAGCAGTCAGATCCCATTGTTTTAAGGTAAACGTGTCCCAAAGCCTGGAAATCTGGGGCCAAATTCACAAAGATGTCTTAAGAAAGAAAATCCTTTCCTCTCCCTCCCTCTATAATGGTTACAGATATTGACAGTGTTATTAGAATATCTTTATCATAAGAAAAGCAACGATTAGAAAAAGAGGATACTGTGTGTATGTATGTATTTATATATTTATGTGTATATATGTACATAAAGCCATACAAGCATTGAAAGTAAAGCAGCTGAACAGGAACATAACGGAACTGTTTTGTTATTAGATCATTCATAATGATCAGTCATAATTGTGGTGCTAATTGCAGTACTGTTACAGTTGTTTGATATAATGTGAATTTTGTATTTTCTTTGTTCTATTATTGTTATGAAAACAAATTATTCTTTAAATGAACTTAAGAATTTATTTAATTTTAATTTTTACTCAATTTTCTACTTTACTTTATTCTTTTCTCAACTATTTTCTTAAGAATAATTCTAAGAACAAGTGTTATTCTTGAAAACATTTTGTTCTTAAATGTTTTCTTAAATCTCACGACAGACTCTCACTGTCTCAGGCTGTAAGAGTTGACAAAGTGAGCATCTAAAACGATCAATTTATCTGCTCCTCATCCTCGTCTCTCGCTTTCTGCCGTCACCCCACAATTATTGTATTTTCCAATGAGGGTGTTTTTCCTCTTTCTTCCTCCACCTCTAGATCTTGTTTGCTAAATTTTTTAAAGACGTTTTTCTTTCATTTTGCTCCTCTGAGCGGATTAAACTAATAACGGAAATAACAGTTAATACCAATTCAAAATGTATCTTGTGTTGTTTATGGTATGGGGCAACGTAGCTGACATAAGAAAACAATTAAGACTTTCCTAAAAAAAAAAAATCTTCAGAAAGTAATTAAGATTATCTTAAGAGAATATCTGAGAACTTCTCAGTGTTTATCTCAAGAACCTTCACAAGTCTTTTCTTAAGATAGTTTCTGTGAATTCAGCCCCACTGAACATTAAGAATCGTCACTACCGAAACACATTTTCTGCAGTTTGCTGGTCATGTACTGGCTGCGTTTTTGAGCTCATAATTAGCTCAAATTGTCACCACCGAAAAAGTCACTACTGAAACATTTGGTAAAAGGGTTTTAGTCTAAAGTCCAGGATCAGTTAAAAGTCCCAAATGTGTTTCAGCTCTGACTTTAAACCAGTTCAGTACAATCAGTAAATCAGCGTCTAGCAGTCAGGACTGGGTGACACCACAGGGATTCCCAATGGCCGTACGATGTATTTGAATAATGCATGAAGTAAACAATACAAAACTATAAAATATAATTCATATATCTAACTTGCATTTTTGCCTACATTATTTATTTAACAACATCAGCTGCTAGAATTACTGTATCAACCGAATACTGTATTCCACCGCTGCTCTGGTTGCTACCTCAGTGACTGCTATGCTCATATATGCTAGGCTATCTGCTAATGTCACATCCTCCTTTGCACAGCTCCACATACTCTCAGTACCGTGTTCTGTCTGTGTTCTGCTTTGTTTTTATTGTAAGTCTTTTGTATTTACTGTGCTGTATTGTCTGCATCGTGTTTATTGTATTGTTTTGCACTTGTGTTCCTGTGTTGGTCCTGGAGGAACGTTGTTTCATTTCACTGGCTGCTTTTCCACTATCGCGCCAAATGGTTCTCAGGGCCGTACTGGGTGGTTCTGCGCTGGTCCGGACTCGTGAGACCAGTTACGGTTTCTGTTGCCATCTATTGTACCGCTAAATCAGAACCAGCAAATACTCAAGAAAACTACACAACCAGTTGCTAACTGCTAACAGGCTAATAGCAACATACACGCCACCCACCACAGACACGTTTGACTCCGTCTGTCACTCCAGCCCCGGTCTTTCTGTCTGTCCTCTCATCTTTATCCTTTAAACTGGTGTTATTTGAGCACCTGTTACTGAAACAGAGTCGGTACTGCAGTGGGTTTCACCTGTAGCTGGATAACTGCGTTAGCATTAGCGTCGCCTGGCAGGATACAGCTCAAAGCACCACAGAACACTTCTATTTTTTATTTTTCTGACACTTCAACACCAGTCATTCGAATTTGTGCTCTCATATACGAGTCTTTATCCTCTAAATAAGTGTTTTTAAGCATCGGTCTGCTAGAACCGAGCCCGTACTGCAGTGAGAGGAACCGTGCACTCACGTTAGCTTAGCCTAGCAGGCTACAGCTTAAAGCTCTAACAGAACAGGTCAGATTTCGGCTTTCTGTCACTCCAACACCGATCAGTCCACTTTGCTCTCGCTATTATACGTTTTTATCATCTATACTTGTGATAGCAGAGCAGTTAGTCGAATCGGACTTCCACTGAGGTGTTTGGGTCTAAGTTAGCCAGGAGAGAAGAGCTGGTTAGCATTAGCTTAGCTAGGAGGCTGCAGCTTCAGACACCAGAGAAGAGGTTAATTTCAGCTTTTGGTCCCTCTAAAATCAGCCACTCTACTTGGCTTCCTCAGATTTGAGTCATTATCATCTAAACTTGTGTCAGTAAAGCTTTTGTTAGTCAGAGTCGAATCTGAGCGGCGCTGGCAGCATGTTAGCTAAGCTAACGCTAACCAGCTACTCTCTCCCAGCTGGTTAGGCAGCGCATTTAATATTTAAAAATTGTTTTTAGATTAAAGCTTTGATGTTTATTGAATGCTGGGTTTAAAAGCATGCACTGCTTTCATTTATTTGAGCAAACTGAATTTATTCGAATGCTTTCGGGTTTGAAATAGCGCAGCACAATACCGATATAAACATAGAACCAATCAGCGAACAGCTACGTCGTTACATCAACCCACTGAACGGTTCCGTGGCCCCGAGTACGGTTAGATAACTGTGCCAAAAAAAAAAAATAAACAGGCTGAGGCCGGTTTTAAGCATTCCGTGTTGAACCGTGTCCGTATGGAAACGCCACTGGAATGGTTACCCTCTGTGCTCAGAACCGTTCGGCCCTGAGACCATATACAGTGTGTACCATATACAGCTGAAATGACAATAAAGCCTCTTGAGAGTGATGAAGCTCAAAAAGCTACAGAACACTGCAATTCCACTAATTCCACAAATAACTAAACTCCAGTTTTAGGCTGGAATTTCCCAGCTTTTCTAAGAAATCCTGCTTTGTGAAAGACCCTCCTGAAGTCCCCTCACCTTCTTGGCGAGTTCGCAGGCCTGCTCTGGAGAGTTGAGGATTTCGTAGAAGAAGACGGAGAAGTTGAGCGCGAGGCCGAGTCGGATGGGGTGAGTGGGCTGCATGTTGTCTTTACTGATATCGAACGCAGCCTGGTACGCTTCCTGCGACTTATAGATGATGTCTAGAGGAAAAAAAATAAAAACACAAATATAAGTCAGACGGAGAAAACAAAAACAGCCTAAAGCATGAGACGTGTTCTAAAACACGTAATCATGACAGACCAGACCAGACATCAACCACTCATCTGCAGAGTAAAAAGGACAATCCTTGTCATCTCAGTAGTACAGTCACCTCAAAAACTGTCGGTTCTACAGTTTCTCATTAGATTGAATGAATAACCGACTCTAAATGTAGGTATTGTGATATAAACTGAGTCTGTTCTACAGTTTCTCATTAGGCTGAATGAATAACCGACTCTAAATGTAGGTATTGTGATATAAACTGAGTCTGTTCTACAGTTTCTCATTAGGCTGAATGAATAACCGACTCTAAATGTAGGTATTGTGATATAAACTGAGTCTGTTCTGCAGTTTCTCATTAGGCTGAATGAATAACCGACTCTAAATGTAGGTATTGTGATATAAACTGAGTCTGTTCTACAGTTTCTCATTAGGCTGAATGAATAACCGACTCTAAATGTAGGTATTGTGATATAAACTGAGTCTGTTCTACAGTTTCTCATTAAGCTGAATGAATAACTGACTCTAAAATGTAGTAGTTCTGAACATATGACCTGGAATATTCAGTTTAAGGGGAGCCTGGCCACTTCCTATTTCTCCCATTATATGAAAAACATGCAAAGTACTGCAAAACACTAGAGGGCACTAGTGAGTCCTCAATGAATGGGAGCTAATGGAGCTAAATGTCTAAAAACTAAAAATACAACATGTTTCTAACCTTTTATATTGATAAGAACCATTTTATTTACTATCAAAATGGAAGGTAAACCTAGACATGTTCTTTGGGGACTGTTTTGCCGCACAAAAGCCTTAGTTTTAGTCCAAAATCTTCTCAAAACTATCATAAAACAGTGTCTCAGACATCAGGCAGTGTATTTATAATCATATTATGTAATAATTTTCTGTGAAGGAGCTTTTAGAGGTGGACGTCTGGTTCCTATCACCACCACTGTGATCAGTTCTGACTCGGTCAGTTTCTCTAGAACGGAGCGTTTCACACCAAACCACTCTGAATGACTGTTTACATCTTATTGATATAATTATACTGTAATTTTGAAAAACTGGTGGAGCTGCCCTTTAACATATGCTATTGCGAATGATACTTTAATGTTTTGTTTTACATAAAGATTTGTAAATGTAACATCAGTGGGACACAAATGGCACTTTAGACGTGGAACTACCTTAATACACTGAAAAACGCTGGACACATACAGAACAGTGAGGCTCTTCTACTGTACACAGTCTCTTGACTAAACTCACACCCTTTGCTCGTTCTAGCTGTTGCCATGGTGATGGCTGACCGCAATGGATGACAGGGTTTTGGCTAAAACTTCTGCTGCTGTCCACCCCTCTGAACTGATCAAGAACCAACAAAGCAGATATTTCTACCAGAGCTTTCATGAGGCTGCAAACTGTACACGATTAACGCCTCATTATCAAGATATGTTAAAGGGAAATTCCACCGATTTTCCTAAATTTCTGTATAATTATATTGTAAAAGACGTAAACAGAGTCGTTCAGAGTGGTTTGGTGTGAAACGCTCGGTTCTACAGAAACTGACCGAGTCAGAATTGTTCAGAGTGGTGGTGATAGGAACCAGACGTCCACCTCTAAAAGCTCCCTCACAGAAAGTTACTACATGAAATGGTTATGAATTCACTGCCTGATGACTGAGACACTGTTTTATGATAGTTTTGAGAAGATTTCGGCCTTAAACTCCATTCATGGTGGAGGGATACATAATATGCAGGGCGCTGTGAGGCAAAATAGTCCCCAAAGAAAATTTATTATTTCAGATTTTCCACTATTTTCCATCATCAACATTCCATATAAGCTCAGAAGACTCGTGTAGGTTCACTGGTGGTTCTGGATGGAAAATAAAATGTCTATATTTGTGTTGTAGTCATGGCGACCCCTGGTTCCTATCACCACCACTGTATCACAATCACTCTGTTTACACCTCACACACTGAATTATGAAAAAACTTTTGAAAAATGGATGGAATTTCCCTTTAATGAGTGATCTGTTCCAGGCAGCAGCATTTTATTACCAAAATCATTATTCTCGTGTTAATTATGTTCACAGTAAGTCAACAAGAGAATACACAGGCCAACAATTCAGTGAAATGCAGGTTTTATGGTCTAAAAGTTAAGTGCACTAGTTAACTGTGTACAGTGAGTAACAACTAAATCCAGTCTGTGATGAGGCTGTGCTACAATTCAATAATAATGTTATAGTCATGGTGACCCCTGGTTCCTATCACCACCACTGTAAAGAAACCTCTCTCTACAAGCAGTGAATTATGTAGAAATTCTGGAAAATTGGTGGAATTGCCCTTTTAGGTATACGGTTTACACAATGCTAATTGGCGTACACAGGTGTAAATTACTTGTCAGCTGCATTAGCCTCATAACTCCAACGCAAAACTGAAAAACCATGTTTAATTTAGTCCATACGTCCACTTTTTATATATTTTAACAGGATTTTCCACCAAACTTTAAATTTATAATTCATAATTGTAGCTAATGTTGTTGGGATCACTGTGATGCTTCATTCAGGTCAGTTTACTGGTTTATTTTAAGGTAGCCAGAGCCAACCTGAGCCAAAAGACGGCTAAATAACCCACGAGCGGAGCTGCGTTTTACACCTCCCAGACTATAAATCATCAAACGGCCGCACCTCCTACAGCTGTGCCGCACCTTTACAGCCAGTCCAAGAGAAACAGACCGAACATCAGACTCAGTGCTCGCTAAGAAAACACAGCACCTGACTCAACACTGTGTTTACATAACGCTGTTAGTCATATTGTGGGTGCAGTGCAGCAGTGAGGGAGCAGGATGGAGATAAAGACTTGTACAGCACTGTGATCTGCCCTCAAACACACTCACTAGTGTATGAATTAGGGATAAGAAATGTGATGAATTTTAATATGACTTAAGCAAACAATACTGAGATAATTATAATATTCAGTATTCAAGATTCCGTCGAATAACATAATAAAACTACATTTTTGACAAAAGCAAGATAGAGAAATGATAAACTGAAATACCGATCATACAGCAAAAGCCTCATTGAATTCTTATCACAGACTGTACTTAGATGTTACTCACTGTATTACGGTACTTTTAGACCATAATACCTGCATTTCACTGAATAATAACTGCAGTAACAAAACGAACAGATCACCCCTCATTAAAGGGGAATGCCACCGATTTTTCTAAATTCCTGCCTAGTTCAGTGTGTGAGATGTAAACAGAGTGATTCAGAGCGGTTTGGTGTGAAATGGTTCAGATGTCTTTACAGTGGTGGTGATAGGAACCAGGGGTCGCCATGACTACAACACAAATATAGACATTTTATTTACTATCCAGAACCACCAGTGAACCTACACGAGTCTTCTTAGTTTATATGGAATGTTGATGATGGAAAATAGTGGAAAATCTGAAATAATAAGTTTTCTTTGGGGACTATTTTGCCTCACAGCGCCCTGCATATTATGTATCCCTCCACCATGAATGGAGTTTAAGGCTGAAATCTTCTCAAAACTATCGTAAAACAGTGCCTCAGGAGCCTGGCCATTTCCTATTTCTCTCATTATATCAAAAACATGAATGCAAAGCACTGCAAAACACTAGAGGGCGCTAGTGAGTCCTCAATGAATGGGAGCTAATGGAGCTAAATGGCTAAAAACTAAAAATTAAACATGTTTCTAAACTTTTATATTAATAAGAACCAGAGGTTGCAATGTCTACAACACAAATGCAACAGTTTTATTTACTATTGAAATGGACAGTAAACACAGACGTTTTCTTTGGGGACTATTTTGCCTCACAGCGCCCTGCATATCATGTATCCCTCCACCATGAATGGATTTTAAGGCCAAAATCTTCTCCAAACTATCATAAAACAGTGAATTCATAACCATTTCCTGTAGTAACTTTCTGTGAGGGAGCTTTTAGAGGTGGACGTCTGGTTCCTATCACCACCACTGTGAACAGTTCTGACTCGGTCAGTTTCTCTAGAACAGACCGTTTCAACACCAAACCACTCTGAATATGTTTACTCACGAATACAAGCTGTTAAAACATTAACTTAGTGTTGCACTGAGTTAGTGTGTATTCACCAAAGATCTGGAACGCACTACCAATAAACATCCGTCAGGCTCCTTCAGTAAATGTTTTAAAAAAACAGTTAAAACTTATTTCTTTTCTTTAGCATTTAACTATTATTTTTATTGTTTCCTTTGTTTTTACTGGAATATTACTATAACTTTGATGTTCTTGTTAGTTGCATTTTGTATTGTCTTTTTTCTTTTAATTTACACTTTCATCCTGTGCTTTTTAATTGTATTTATTAATATCCATTTTCTGCTATTTATTGTTTATAATTTGTTTTTATTCTTGATTATCTTTTCTTCCTCTGCTGTTTTCACTTTGTACTGTGAAGCACTTTGAGCTGCATTTTTAATGTATGAAAGGTGCTGTAAAAATAAACATTATTATTATTATTATTATTATTATTTCCTCTCTGTCTCTGTAGCAAATACCTGAATAATGATTTCAGTATTCGAATACCTGCATCTCAAACAGTTACCAGAGTACTCGAGTACCTGTGCACATCCCTGCTGTGTCCAGCTCTACTACAAACTAATACACAGTGGACTCAATGAAGGCAGAATCAGCAGCTGGAATATTATTAGGCCTTTTATATATCGTCATCTCTGAAATAGTAACTATACAGAAAAGGGCAAAAACGTTCCTAACATCTAATGTAAGTTAATGTAAAGAGGTGCGCGTGTTTCTTTGGGCAGCGACCTGTCTGAGACTGTGTGAAACCTTCAGACACTTTCTGCTCACTTATTAACTAATTCATGCAAATTCATTAACTTTATTACTGGTTAACTTGAATATTACCTTACGCTGTGATATACTGAGAAAATACTGTGATTAAGTTAATAAGTGGGCATCAGTTAAAAAGTTAGCACTGATTAAGTTAATAAGTCAGCCTCGTTAAAGGTGAAGAGGTTAGCACTGATAAGCTATCAGGTTCTTTGGACGGCGACCCGCCTGAAAACCTCAGACACTTTCCCCTCATTCATTCACTGAAGGGTGTGGGAGCACAAGCTACGGCCTGTTACAGCTCTGAGTCAGAGAACAGGAAACTGTGACAGAGAGAGAGAGTGAGAGAGAGAGAGCGAGAGAGAGAGAGAGAAAGACAGAAAGACAGAGAGACAGAGAGAGCGAGAGACAGAGAGAGAGAGAGAGAGAGAGAGAGAGAGAGAGTGAGAGAGCGAGCGAGAGACACACAGAGCGATAGAGCGAGAGAGAGCATGCGTGTGTGTGTGTGTGTGTGTGTGTGTGTGTGTGTGTGTGTGTAACAGGGCAGTTACACCGGGTAGAGGAACCACCCTAACAGCCGGAAGCTGCTTTATTAGGAGATAAAGTTCTGCCCCGACATGCGGCTGCAGCTGCAGGTCTGTCCTGTTCACTGTAGGAATGTACAGGTTGCACTGTTCAGTGTTCAGGAGCCACAATTCACACTCAGCTCACACTGCACTGCACTGAACCGCAGAACGGAGGCCTTAATAAGAGGCATTAATAACAATAAACTAGCATTAATAGTTAATAAGTGAGCATTAATAAAGTTAAGTCAGCACTAATAAAGTTAATGTCAGCATTAATAAAGTTAATAAGTCAGCACTAATAAAGTTAATAAGTAAGCATTAATAAAGTTAATGTCAGCATTAATAAAGTTAATGAGTCAGCACTAATAAAGTTAATAAGTGAGCATTAATAAAGTTAATGAGTCAGCACTAATAAAGTTAATAAGTAAGCATTAATAAAGTTAATGTCAGCATTAATAAAGTTAATGAGTCAGCACTAATAAAGTTAATAAGTGAGCATTAATAAAGTTAATAAGTCAGCATTAATAAGGAAAAGTGGATCATTAAGGTTTAAAAGTTAGCGCTGATTAAGGTATTTAGGTTAGCACTGATAAAGTTAATTAGTGAGCACCAGTTAAAGGTTTGCTCTTATTAAAAAGCGCTGTTAGCACTGATTAAGTTAAGTGAGCATCAGTAAAGTGAGTCAGAGTCAGTAAGGTTCAGACTAACACTGATAGTGAAAAGGGTAACACCAGGTTAGTAGGTGACACTGATAAAGCGAATGAGCTCAGACTGCTACTCTATAGAAATGTTTATATTTCTAAAAATATCACTGAAACTAAAATTCAGTATCACAGTAAACCTGTACAGACCATATATCGGCTTCAGATCTGAACGGCTTGAGAAATCATACAGAACAATATTTCCAGGTACTGTAATAATTCTGTATCACTGTAATTATCTGAGGAACTGTGATTAATATGTAACTGATTTTTTAGTACGAACACAGCCGAAGTTACGCTGCTCAGTGTTATGCAGGCCTGCTGTGCTGGGTGGTGTGCGTGGGGTGGGTCACATGACTGGCAATATAATCAATAATTCCCATTTTTAACAAGAACATATGGTGATAATTGGTTTGAGACACCATGCAGCCTAACGGGAAGTCAGAGAGAGAAACGTGTGAAGCTGTGCAGAAACAGAAGTCACGTCTTGCGATACTCTGACCTGGAGAGCAACACTGTGGTGGTAGTTACACAACAGTAAACCCGCCTACAGCGTTTCAGCAGCTCAGAGCTGAACCGCTGACGACTGAGGTGTCCGCAAACAGGAGAGCAGGACACAGAGAGAGCAGGACACAGAGAGAGAGCAGGACACAGAGAGAGAACAGGACACAGAGAGAGAACAGGGCACAGAAGGACACAGAGAGAGAGCAGGACACAGAGAGAGAACAGGGCACAGAAGGACACAGAGAGAGAGCAGGACACAGAGAGAGAGCAGGACACAGAGAGAGCAGGACACAGAGAGAGAGCAGGACACAGAAGGACACAGAGAGAGAGCAGGACACAGAGAGAGCAGGACACAGAGAGAGCAGGACACAGAGAGAGCAGGACACAGAGAGAGAACAGGACACAGAGAGAGAACAGGACACAGAGAGAACAGGACACAGAGAGAACAGGACACAGAGAGAGCGCAGGGCACACAGAGAGAGCGCAGGACACAGAGAGAGAGCAGGGCACACAGAGAGAGCGCAGGACACAGAGAGAGAGCAGGACACAGAGAGAGAACAGGACACAGAGAGAGAACAGGACACAGAGAGAACAGTGGGGGCACACAGAGAGAACAGTGGGGGCACACAGAGAGAACAGTGGGGGCACACAGAGAGAACAGTGGGGGCACACAGAGAGAACAGTGGGGGCACACAGAGAGAACAAAGGACACAGGGAGAACAGTGGACACACAGGGAGAACGCCCATACCAGTGGTCACTGCGTCAGCTCGAAAACACAGAGATTAGAGCACGTTCCCCTAACTCCACCCACAAACGCATCCGCTCATCACGCATAAAAAAAGATCCCCATATCATTTTTATGTACACAGTTAAACACTAAAGTCTGAACAGCCCGAGTAAAACTCCATATTACTGTTGATTTCCTAACTGAAATGAGCTCTAATAACTCGGCCTCTACAGACAACACACTTAAATATGGCATTTTTCTGCACATTTTACTGCACAGTGTCTATTTATTTACTGAGTTTAACATATTGAGGAAAAAAAAACTAAATATAAAATAAAATATTACCCAATATGTTAAATTAAGCAAATAAACAGTAATTGTGTATTAATAAAGTTAATAAGTGAACATTAACAGTAAGGTTAAAAAGTTAGCACTGATTGAAAAGCACTGTTAGTACTGATTCCAATCGATGTCACGCAATTATGCTGCAACTTCAGGTTCACTTGGCAGCGCTGGGGAGGTTTGTCATGAGATAACAAAGCCAAAACATCTGAAAGCCAAAGTTTAAGGTGTTTCCTGATTAAGAAGCATATATTAAGGTAAATTAATGCACAGAAAAAAGTCTGGTTCCATTGACTTACATTAAAAGTACAGTATGTTTTTTCCTTCTCCTGTAAAGTTACGATTTCAGAGATACGAGGTTTTGTTCCGACAACGACGATCTGGTTCCATTTCTTGTTAGCTACATTAGCCTCCAGTGCTAAAACTAAAGAAACTAACTTGTCTTAGCTGGTCGACGTCATTTAGAGGAAAACTCATGTAAATAATCTTCTGGGGGGGGGGGAACTAAAAAAACAACTCACCTTTTTTGTCTTCTCCCGTGGCAACCTCCGCCAGGTAGCGGTAGTAGTCTCCCTTCATCTTCAGGTAGAACACCTGGCTCTCCGCCGGAGACGTGGTGCGGATCAGAAACTTGTCCAGAAGGTGCTGCAGATGGAAGAACACACACACACACACACACACACACACACACACGGTTTCAGTCTGAGCAGAGCAGAACAAGTCACCACAAAACAAGAGTCCGAACTGAGAAAACAAACTTACCCTGTTTTTTTTTTTTTATGAAATAATTAATAAAACATTGTTACAGACTCATCAACAATCCTCCACAATAAAAGTCTTTATCACCATTGCAAAGTGAGTTCATGTAATAAACACACTGTTAAGGGCTGCGATGACAAAACAGTCAGATTAGCTCAAGCGCAGCACCAAAGTGACGTTATTAGATTGGCAGGAATGTCGGTACCAGCAAGTGCTTCCTTGTGTGCCAAGGAATCCGTGTTTGTCCTGTGCTACAGGATGCCGAGTCACACATACTAAACATGTTTAACATTTACAATTCGAAAGTGGGCCAGTCTCAATTAGTTTAAGGCCCAGTCCCATTTCACCCCTCACCCCTACCACTTAGCCCTACCCCTCTGTTTTGCACGTTCGCGTCTAGGGGTAGGGTGTCCTGATTCTTGTTGAGATAGAGGGGGAGGGTGAAGTGTTGGGGCTACATGACCCTCCAATCAGAGGTTTTTCAGAGTCTCCAAACAGAGAGTTATGAGAAAAAAAGAAAAACCGGCAAGATGGAGAACAAGAGACCAAAGAAACACACAAATGTGAGAATTTTCTCCGTTAAAATAACTTTCATGTGGTTTCAATGTATTTTGGTCCTTTTCCTTATAACAAGCACAGAAAATCGCTAATAGTACCCTAATGTCTCGGTAGCTGGCTAGCTAACTTTCCCGTTCCACCTTAAATTGTCCAGCAGTTCTGACGTCTGAAACGCCAGAATGTAACTGCTGCTCCATTTAAGGTGGAACGGGAAAATTCTAACAAGAACCTGGTAAATATCTGACTTCAGCTTCATATCACTGAAGAATCGGGGGTGGGTGATAATAAATAATTGCCCCCCTCTTTGAAGTCATATGATGCCCTAAATGTAACTAAAGCCCAGCAGTGAGGAGCTGAACTTTACCCTCCTCTGCTGTCACTGCAGACTGGCAGGGTCGCCTACAGAGCAGCGCTGGTAGCTGTTAATGAAGTGATGCTCTTTTTATTTGAGGGTCCCATTTCAGAGGGAAGATTTCAACCACTCGAAAACAAGGGGTAGGGTAAAAATAAGAACTGGGACTGGGCCTCAACATAGGCTGTTGTAATGCAAGTTCAGGTTTATGCGTCACTAAATCTAAATAAGCTACACGACACAAACTAATTTAGCACTGAGCCCAGTATCTGCTGAATATTCACACCTGAGCACCACATAGAAAGAATAAAAAGATGGAAAAAAAAATCATTTTTTAGTTAAGTAAACTAAAAACTCTAAACGCTGTGATTTTGCTTACAGCTCTAATCATCGCTCTGGTTTTAGCTCTGAACGTCCACAGCTCAGTGAGATGCTGACGAAACTCTAAACTAAGGCTGCTGTCGTGTCGGTTGGCCAGGAATAGTCACTTAAAAAAACGAAATGGTCAAGATGTAAACAGAGTCGTTCAGAGTGGTTTGGTGTGAAACGCTCCGTTCTAGAGAAACTTACTGAGTCAGAACTGTTCACAGTGGTGGTGATAGGAACCAGACGTCCACCTCTAAAAGCTCCCACACATAAAGTTATTACATGAAATGGTTATGAATTCACTGCCTGATGACTGAGACACTGTTTTATGATAGTTTTGGCCTTAAACTCCATTCATGGTGGAGGGATACATACTATGCAGGGCACTGTGAGGCAAAATAGTCCCCAAAGAAAATTTATTATTTCAGATTTTCCACTATTTTCCATCATCAACATTCCATATAAACTCAGAAGACTCGTGTAGGTTCACTGGTGGTTCTGGATAGTAAATAAAATGTCTATATCTGTGTTGTAGTCATGGCGACCCCTGGTTCCTATCACCACCACTGTAAAGACTCTCTGATGAATCTCACACACTGGATTATGAAGAAACTTTTGAAAAATGGATGGAATTTCCCTTTATCACTGCAGTTCTGATGTAAGTTTTATTTTTTTAGTTTTATACAACAGTGAATGCCACTTTTGTAGGGTTTTTTCCTCACCATACAATATGAAAGCTGTGAAAACACCCCATTTTCAATTAATCAGGGTTCTGATCCTTCAGATCGGAGCACCCCTGACAAGAACTCCCAAACAAAGCATCCAACATCCTCTAAAGAAATGAATACTTCATAACAACAGAGAGAATGTAAATGAAACCTTGAACTACTGATCTGCTTCAATTAAAAACACACCATTTTGAAGATTAGTTAGAGTAATTTTAAAAGAAATACCGGATCCCTATCAGTGTTCAGGTTCAGTATCAGTACAGGGAAAGAGAGAGAGAGTGGCATCGCGCCATTCTGTCCACACGAACAGCATCGATCCTGGATATAAAACCTTCACACAGATCTGCGCCATCTGTGCGTCAGGAAGACTCCACACTCCGCTGCAGAGCGGCGCCTCTGACCTCTCGTGGGCTTTATTTGCATGCTTATGTAAGAGAGAGGAGATGCTGGCAGATTACAGAGCTTATAAGGACGCGCAACAAAGCCACAAGCACTCAGAGTGTCCTGGTCATTCAGCAACACTGACCGCCCTGTCTTACCATTAACAGGGACGCATTCAGCGTCCTGCTGTTGATGAGGGGGTGCAGAGCATGGAGGAACTGTTCTGAGTGCTGCTTTGTCTTCAAACTATGAAATAATAAGAACATAATAATAAAAAAATGATTGACATGCCTCCCCGCCATTCATAACCATCTCGGAATGCTACTTCCTCCGCAACAAACCTGCAGTGAGAACGGCAGTGACAGTAAATCAGGCAGAATTAGAGTAAGAATGGAGGTTAGGGAACCATCCCTGTGACCGGAAGGTCGTCGGTTTGATCCCCTGAGCTGACAGTACGTGACTGAAGAGCCCTTGAGCAAGACACCTAACCTCCAACTGCTCCCAGGGCGCCGTGGATAGGGCTGCCCACTACTCTGGGCAAGTGTGCTCACTGCCCCCTAGTGTGTGTGTGTTCACTAGTGTGTATGTGGTGTTTCACTGCACAGATGGGTTAAAATGCGGAGGTGAAATCTCCCCATTATGGGATTAATAAAGGATAACTTATTATTATTTTCACAATGCAGAGTGTTTACAAAAATATTCCTATAGAAAACTTAATAAAGCTTAAACATCACACCCACAGTGGAAACATTAAAAATTACTGTGGAGTATAAATGCACTGTGATGCATCATTTTGGAGGGTTAACTGCATTTTTACCTTCATACTTGATTATAATTGACTGTAATAATATTAAGTAAAGTACACTACTTTGCACTAAGTGTATTTTGCCCGTAGAAACACAATATAAGAACAGAATAAATACAAAAAAATACAAATACAGTGAAAGGTAAGAAGAACATTTATGTTTTCAGAAAAGTTCTGAATATGTAGTTTAGAAGAATGCAATGAGAAGAACTCCTGACTTCTCGCTGCACTTCAGTCATCGCGCATATTTGATCAATTCATTCGGCAGCATGAAATTTAATATTTCTCAATGCCCTGAACTACAGAATCATAACCGGACTGAAGTGTTTTTCTCCTCAGCTTCTCCGTTCCAACAGTCAGGATGGATGGTAATGAGCGGCTGCTGGAGTCGAAGCTGCTGAGATAGCGTGATTAGAACAGTCATACCTTCACCACCATTCTGCAGCACGGCTCAGTGCCAGCCTCACCCATTACCTCATTACCGACGCATTCAGCGCTGCATACTTCCAGAAACACAGTCTAAACAGCAGCGCGGGAAATGACAGGAATTTCACGCTCGTGAGGTATTTTCTTGTGACATTTTTTAAGCCTCCCTTGGGCCGTGAGTCACTGGAAACAGCGCAGCAGCAGAGAGAAACTCACAGGCTGACTGCAGCGCAAGAGCCCAAGTCCATCTGCACCGTCAGCCTGTAGAGTAAGACTGCAGAGATTAGATGACCTCAATTCTTTTTTAATATGGCTCTACAATGTTCATATGATCCACACAGTCATTCTGACAGACCGTAATACACTACAGGAAGTGTAGGGGGCGATATGGCTTCTACTGTTTCATTTAAAAAGCGCTCTATAATGTTCATATGATCCACACAGTCATTCTGACAGACTGTAATACACTACAGGAAGTGTAGGGGGCGATACGGCTTCTACTGTTTCATTTAAAAAGCCTCTATAATGTTCATATGATCCACACAGTTATTCTGACAGACTGTAATACACTACAGGAAGTGTAGGGGGCGATATGGCTTCTACTGTTTCATTTAAAGAGCTCTATAATGTTCATATGATCCACACAGTCACTCTGACAGACTGTAATACACTACAGGAAGTGTAGGGGGCGATACGGCTTCTACTGTTGCATCAAGGAAAAAAAAACCTTGTACAAAAAAAACAAAAACAAACCTTGTACATTCTTAAAAAGATGGTTCTTCAAGGGTTCTTTAGTAAAGAAAATGATTTTATATAGAACCATGAACACTCAAAGAACCTTTTGCATGATGAAAGCGTTCTTCAGACTCATGGACAATGTGCTTAAGATGTTCTATATAGCGTCCAAAAGTGTTCTTCTATTGTTATGATGTCAAGCTTGTAACAAAAGAAGAACTCTTTTGGGTGCTATACAGAACCCTTTTGAAAAATGTTCTATATAGAACCGTCTATGGCACATTCATACATAATTTCCAATTATCTAAAGAACTCTTTCATGATGCAAAGAACCCTTCAGTCATGCATAGGGTTCTTTGAGTGTTCATGGTTCTATATAGAACCATTTTCTTTACTAAAGAACCTTTGAAGAACCATCTTTTTTTAAAGTGTAGCACATGATACACGCCTGCGCTACATTACACTTCACTCTGCTGCCTGATCAATACTGTCGGTTCCTGATCTGTGTGCCCTGTTCAGGCTGTACTGAGCTTTGCTCTGCGCTCTATTTTCAAGCTGAAATCTGACCACACAGATTAGTTAACGCGAGTGATTTTTCCTACACCAGCGGTCAGCAACATGTGGCTCCGGGGCCATGTGCGGCTCTTTTACTGCCCTGTTGTGGCTCCACAGCTGAATCAGATTTGTATGCAAAAATAAAATAATCCTCCTTTACAGTAAAATAAAGCTCTGCTGATCGTTCAACACAGTTTAATGTAGAACTGCTAATTCACCCTTTAACCCTGAAGATCAGCGCAGACTGCTGGTCACCATAGCAACACAGATAACAGTCTCGCCTAGCTAGTAGCTAACGAAATGACAAAGAGAGATTTAAGACAAAGACATTTTACAAGAAACTGTTCTACTTTTGAGGAAAAGTTTCCTGCTGGAGATGTGAGAAAAGCAGCTATAGCTGAGCTAAAGCTTAAAGCAGAGCAAAGTGAGTCTGCGTTTTCGTTTATATTATATTTTTAGTCTATATTAGAACATTAACACAGACTAAAACATATTTACAGCCAAGATGGTAAAATGGATATAAAGTGTTGTGGCTCCCAAGATGGTTTGATTTTTGCTGAAAGGACAGAATGGCTCTTCTTAACATTTGAGTTTTGACCGCCGCCCTACACTGCAGGCTGTACCAACAAAATTTACCTCAGGGGGGCGCTACACAATACTGGGTGGACCAAAATATTTACTCTTAAAAAGATGGTGCTTCTAGGGTTCTGCAATAAAGTAGACGGTTCCATATAGAGCCATGAACACTCAAAGAGCCCACTGCATGCTTAAAGGGTTCTTTGCATCATGAAAGGGTTCTTCATATAAATAGAAAATGAGCATGAATTTGCTATAGACGATTCTATATAGAACCTTTCTGAAAAGGGTTCTACATAGCACCCAAAAGGGATCTTCTACTGTTACACTGTCAATATTGCCACAATAGGAGAACGCTTTCGGGTGCTATGCAGAACCCTTTTCAGAAAGGGTTCTAGGATAGGTTTCTTTAACTTATTTTGAACAGACTAGTGCTAGGTACCGTCTTAAAGATGGTTTTCCAAGAGGTCTTTAGTAAAGAAAGTGGTTCTATATAGAACCATAAACACTCAAAGAGCCCTCTGCATGATGGAAGGGTTGTCTGCATGAGTTTGATGGAGAACATGCTGCAGATGGTTCTATACAGAACAACTTTCTTTATTAAAGAACCCTTGAAGCACCATTTCTAAGTGTGTATCTAGCACTGTTGTGTTCAAAATAAATGTAAACAAATCTGGCCTTGTGCAACTGAGGGTTTCTCTTGTATTTTTTCCCTGGTGTACCGTGACGTCTAAACCGGTGTGAACAGAACCGTGACTGTGCACCGTTACACTCCGAGTAGTGACCGATATTAACACTGTAAACTCACCAGCACGTCTGTGCAGATGGACTGCAGCTCCGACTCGATTTTCTCCCGGTACTCTTTGGCCATCGCCTGCTTGTCGCTGCCGTCCGTCTTCTGCTCGATGCTGGAAATGACCCTCCAGGAGGACCGACGGGCGCCCACCACGTTCTTGTAGGCCACGGAGAGCAGGTTCCTCTCCTCGTCCGACAGCTCCTCTCCCAGCTCCGTCACGGCCTTCATGGAGGCGGCCATGTCGTCGTAGCGCTCGGCCTGCTCCGCCAGCTTAGCCTTCTGCACGTGCTGACTCTTATCCATCTTTGCTCAGGTTCTACACAGGAGACACAAACACACACAATTCAGCTACGATTAGGAAACGATGCAGTGAACCATGCGGAGGTGGGCGACATGACGATTTTTATTATCATCATGATAAACTGGCACAATTTCTGAGCTAATTATGGATATCGTTGGACATTTGGCTAACTTCTGCGCAATTAAATGGCAAACAAAGTCGTTCAGAGTGGTTTGGTGTGAAACGCTCCGTTCTAGAGTCAGAATTGTTCACAGTGGTGGTGATAGGAACCAGACGTCCACCTCTAAAAGCTCCCTCACAGAAAGTTCCTACAGGAAATGGTGATGAATTCACTGCCTGATGACTGAGACACTGTTTTATGGTAGTTTTGAGAAGATTTTGGCTTAAACTCCATTCATGGTGGAGGGATACATAATATGCAGGGTGTTCTGAGGCAAAATAGTCCCCAAAGAAAACTTATTATTTCAGATTTTCCACTATTTTTCATCATCAACATTCCATATAAACTCAGAAGACTCGTGTAGGTTCACTGGTGGTTCTGGATAGTAAATAAAATGTCTATATTTGTGTTGTAGTCATGGTGACCCCTGGTTCCTATTACCACCACTGTAAAGACATCTGAACCATTTCACACCAAACCACTCTGAATCTCTCTGTTCACATCTCACACACTGAATAATGGAGGAATGTATAAAAATCAGTAAAAATCACCTTTGAATCGCTGACCGACTTCATTTTTCATTACAGAGAGAATAATTAGTCCTGTTTAACTGGAATTAGTGCACTAGAGGAAACGTTTCATATCCCATGTCTGAGAGTATTTAAAGTAACAGTACTTTGTGTCCCTCAATGTATCAAACCTTTAAATAATATAACGTCAAACACATCGAACATTTTCAAGCGTTCAATTATACGTGATTTGATAATTTTGGTATAATTTTAAATACACCACTGAAACTTCTGAATTTTATTTTAGTCAGAAAAATGAGCGCATGCAGTCGTAAGCAAAGGTTTGGTGTATTTGTTGATTTTCTAAGTGAGCATAAAATAAAACATCCTTTACAGAGAGTAAAATATGGCATTTTCTGCATAATTTCTATTTATTTGCTGAGTTAAAACAATAAAACAATAAAAGGTAAAAGTAGTGTGCCGTTACTTTTGCACAGGCCACATTTCAGCTTTTATTTGTTCCCCCTAATGTGTTAAACTGAGCAAATAAACAGTAATCATGTATTAAAATGTACAGAAGTGAGGTTTGGTCAGATTTCATGTAGGTGTTGATTTCCTGAGTGTAAATAAGTGAACATCCTCTACAGACAAACACACTTCTGCACATTTTAATACACGATTACTGTTTATTTACTGAATTTAACACATTAGGGGGAACAAATAAACACAAAATGTGGCCTGTGCAAAAGTAAAGGCACACTACTTTGACCTTTTATTGTTTTTCCATTATGTTAAACTCAAACAAACAGAAAAATTACACATTAAATGCAGCAGGAAAAATCCACATTTTACTCTCTGTAGAGGACGTGTTCTTATTTTCAGCTAGAAAATCAACAAATACATGGAATCTGACCAAAGCTTTGCTTATGACTGTACTTTGATTTGGAATTAAATGTTATTATATTTGCAGGTCTAATCGTTTAAAATCACTGCTCTGCTAGGGGTCGGCTGATATCAATGAAAGGCCCAGATAAGCATACTGTCCATCCTGATAATAGAATTTATCATTAAAACGATAAAATGTTGTCATATTGTCCACCTCTACGCTTCCCCACCTTCAGCTCGTGTAAACGTGTGGTGACTATGGGATTTAAGTGTTGAGTAAACGGTGACACAGACAGACAGGAATGTTCCGGATACTGTCGTCACGTGTCTGTCAGGTCGGTTAAGGTTAGAGAACGTCATCACAGCTCGCAGGTTTCTGACAGCTGAGGACGACACGACAACCTGAACATCAGCTATTCTGCAGCTCTTCTGTCCGTTTTCTTCTAAACTATTAATATTAATTGTTTAAATTAATTTTCATTTGTTTATTAAGAACTTCTTAAAAAAAAACAGAATATTCTCTGCCTTCAAAGTTTATTTGTATTTATTCTAATGTTATTTATTGTTTTACAGGCAAACACACAACGACTGCCCGAGTACACACGGCTGTACGCAAAAGTTTAAGCGCCCCATGCCAATTTCCATGTATTTGTTGATTTTCTGTAGGTCACACATCCATTACAGAGACACACTACTGCACACTTTAATAAAAAAAATTACTATTTATTTACTAAATTTAACATACTGGGCAAAAAATAAAACAAAGTGGCCTGTGCAAAAGTTATAGCAATATTTAATGTTTTGTTTACTTTCCAATGTGTTAAACTTGGCAAATAAATAGAAATTGTGCAACAAATTAGCAGAAAAATGGCGTTTTAATTGTGCTCACTGTAGAGGATGTGATCAAGTACACAGAAAATGGCACAGACTGAAACTATTTTCTCGGTTGTGTAAGACTTTGGTACAGTGCTGTATGAGAGTCTAAAATCAGATAAAATTCTTCTTGTAGGCTTTACAGCAGCAGCAGCTTCAGCTTCAAAGAGCTCGTATACAACCGCAAGCACAGAACAACAAACTGAACCATAACTCTAGATTTCATTTTCATGTATTTGCGTAAACATTCACAGACGTTTGATCATAAGAATATTATTTACCCATAAACTTGATCACCAGTATTCTGACTGTAGCTGTAATCTCACTCTCAGCCAGAGGAATACAGGAAAGCCATGATGTACATTTATTTAACGGAAGGAAACGAAATGTAAATCAGTCCTGGCGATTTATACGACTGCACGTGTTCTTCATCAGGCAGAACTGCTGGAGAAAGCTGTAGTGGTACATTAGAGCTTCTAAAACCAATTTCATCATCACACCGATTGCGCCTGTGAAGCTGACAGGAGGCAATTTTTACCTATTAAAAACGTACCCATCCCATTAAAGGGCCCATGTCATGTGAAACTTGAGGCGGGCGATATGGCAAAAAACATAATATCACAATATTTCAAGAATTTTCACGATACATGTCACAATATTTATTTTTTTAGGACATCTGATCAGTTGGAACAGAGAAGTATAATAATAATAATAATACTAATAATAATAATAATAATAATGATAATAATAATAATATTTAAAAAATTCAAGATAAATTTTTCCACTACACTAAAAAACGTCATGTATGTTAGATGATTTACCAGTGGATCTAGAGGTGGGCGATATGGCAAAAATACAATATCAAAGACATTTTCACAATAAACGATAAGTCATATTTATTTTTCTTCCTTGCATATTTCTTCATTTTTATTTATCTTCCTTGCATATTTTATTTACACTGTAAGTAAATAACACCAAAGTTTCAGTCCATAAATGTAAAACACGCTGCAAAACAGACCAGTTTTTGTGATGTCACAAAAAACAGCACATTTACATATACCCATCTACTCTGCCTACTGCAGTTTGGCTCCACCCACTCACACTGAAGTTATAAGGAGTGTTTCAGCCCGGACTGCTTTTCGAACGAGGCCAAAAATCAGAACAGAGCTCATTTACATATATCAGTCTTAAAGGCACAGTAACAAAATCAGCCTGTTTAAATGTAAATACTAAAAAAAATAAAAATAACTGAAATTTCATCTGTTTGTGGTACATAAAACCACACAAACGATATAAATGGATTTCGGTTGGAGGGGGGGCAGGGATACAAGAAAAATGTACGATTTAGAAAAGATTTTTTTAAATCGAGCCAATAGGGGGCACAATAGCGCATTAAGACATTAAAGAGACTGTAAATAACATAAGTGTCTTCAAGATGTCAATTTATAGTGTTTTACATCAGAAGCAACCGGAAGTGAATCCTAACAGGAAGCGACTGGCCACACCCTCTACCACCCAGTGAAAACTACATTTCCCACAATTCCTGGCCTCAACCATCACTTAGACCCTCTATTTCCTTTTTTAATCACTATTCAACATCTGAAGATTATCAACAGTGAAACTATAACAAACAGGAGAAACAGTCCTGCACAGATAATAGAGACTAACGTACGTTAGTCAAAAAGAAAAAAGTAGGAAAGAAAGACAGAAGGAAAAAAGTTACCACACTAACCTAAGAGGCTCTAAAACGGGCTCTAAAGTCAAAAGCGGCTAAATCAGACACTTTCTTTGGTCTGAATAAGAAAGAGAGACTCAGAAAACAGCACAAAATGGTGGCAGTAATGCACTGAAACTGCTCCCAAGTCTTGTGGCGTGAAGTATGTGGATATGAGTCGGCCCACCACGCCCAGGAGGGTCTACCTGCTGCAACAGGAGAGCCCGACCTGAGGGCAGGGCTGATCCGGGAAACGAACACATTATGCAAACTGAACCAAACCGAACACGCATGAAATGAAATGAAAAGAAAGAAAATTAAATGAAAGTGTGCTGCGAGCAAATCCCAGCACGGATCCCAGCCGGGCCTCACGGGTTAATCCGGTTTCCTTTCCTTCCTTTACAACACGCACAGCTTTTCCTCTTACGGAAAGGACTACAGGAATACTACAGGAATTTCTACAGGACTCCTATAGGAATTCCTGGGATACTATTAAGATTATTATAATTACAGACTCCCAAAACAGGAATATCATTTATAGAACAATACAAAAGCTTTATATCACTACACAATTATTATAGTTTCTTGTAGTACTACACTCTCAAAAAAGATGGTTCCTCAAAGGAAATGGTTCCATTCAGAACCATGAGTTCTACACAGAACCATCTGCATGGTGAAATGGTTCTGTATAGCACCAAAAAGAGGGTTTTCTATTGTTCTGATACCAAGAAACCTTTTTGTATAGAGCAATTTTTAAAAAAGGTTCTACACAGAACCATATAACACACTCTCCATCAATCTGAAGAACCGTTTCACCATGCAAAGAACCATTTAAGCACGTAAACGGTTCTACATAGAACTCATGGTTCTACACAGAACACTGGAAGAACCCTCTTAAGTGTGTACCACAGATACTCTTCTATGGGTTTAGCTGTGTCTGTGCATTGCAACACCACACAGGAATGAATGGAGAGACACTGTAAGCAGCAAGAAACAGAGGTTTACAACACAGGAACATCAACAAAGAGTGATTAATTAATGAATTAATCACTGTGAACTGGATTAATTAGCAATTTAACAAGGATTCAACCGCCAATGCAATGTGAAAGCAAACAGAGGAGAACAATGTGGAGCCTGCAGTCAGATCAGATCAGATCAGATCAGATAGATGTGCTGAACTAAAACAGAAAGAAAGCACTTATCTCCTCCTATGGCTGTGTCTGATTATCTACTGCAACAGACAGCTCGCCCGTCTCATATCTGCATTTTAATCTGTTTAACACCCCAGAAAGCCCACAAAAGCAGAGCCCCTGCTATAAACCCACCCATACTGAGCTATGATAACCCTACAGTCCTTATAAAGACGCTACACACACAAAAAAAAGACAAGAAGCTGAAATCAGCTTCCTTTTCGCCAGCCTCTATTTCGAATTTTCCCGTTCCACCTTAAACGCGGCGGCAGTTATTATAACGCCCGAGGCGCCAGAATGTAACTGCCGCACTATTTAAGGTGGAACGGAAAAATTCGAAATAGAGGCTGGCGAAAAGGAAGCCAATAAAACTGAAGACATTAAAACTGACCCGAGAGTGGCGAAGAGAAGCAAGAACGCGTCCTTAATCCCAAAAGCAGAAGCGAAAATGAGGCGAAAAGGCTATAAAAGTTTGCCCACCTCGTAACCAGGGCGTGTATGTGTGTTTGCAGACCTGCTTCACAGCTGACAGTCACCAAGAGCTGCTGTACGGATGTACGGGGTTTCCCACCCGCTCACCACTGGCTTGTAGCAGGGGCGACATTAGGAGGGCGTTGCTTTTTGCCACACCCGTATTCCGACAGGTCCCGCCTCCTGCACCAGGATTGGCTAAAGAGGCGTACTCGCAAACTGTTCGCCAATAGCGAGCCGATTTGTAGGAAGCATAGCCAATCCTAGCGAGGGAGACACGCTTACTATCCAATTGGAGCAAAAGCGGAGAGATTTGCCTGATAATGGGCGGGAAAAAATAACGTACGTGCTGCGGGTCCTGACGTCTAACGCTGCCGAGGCAACGGCGCTGCTCATTGGCTGGGGAAAATAACCGACCGTTTTAAAAGTCCCCTTTGCTTCAGTGTTTATTTGTTTGTTTGTTTGTTTGTTTTTAACTGATCTCAGTTAATATGTTTAAGAAATGGTTACTTTTATTTGTCTAACGTTGATCAGGGATGGTTCAGATGTCTTTACAGTGGTGGTGATAGGAACCAGGGGTCGCCATGACTACAACACAAATATAGACATTTTATTTACTATCCAGAACCACCAGTGAACCTACACGAGTCTTCTGAGTTTATACGGAATGTTGATGATGGAAAATTGTGGAAAATCTGAAATAATAAGTTTTCATTGGGGACTATTTTGCCTCACAGCGCCCTGCATAGTATGTATCCCTCCACCATGAATGGAGTTTAAGGCCGAAATCTTCTCAAAACTATCATAAAACAGTGTCTCAGTCATCAGGCAGTGAATTCATAACCATTTCATGTAGTAACTTTCTGTGAGGGAGCTTTTAGAGGTGGACGTCTGGTTCCTATCACCACCACTGTGAACAGTTATGACTCTATAAGTTTCTTTAGAACGGAGCGTTTCACACCAAACCACTCCGAACTACTCTGTTTTTAATGACTCTTAACCATTTAATCATGAAATTTTGAAAAATCAGTGAAGTTGTGATATCACAAAAACAATAAATTGAATTTTAATGTATACATTTGGTACCATGATATTATATTGTACTGTATTGCACTGCGCTGTGTTGAACTCTGTTCCTTCGCTGGGTATCAATGGTGACTTTTTGTTTCTAGCAGTGTCTGAGCTCAGGACTGGCTTTCTCTCTAACCTATTGGTAACTAGCAAAGATACTTTATCTAGATGGACAAAGCACTTTTTGTAAGTCGCTCTGGATAACAGCGTCTGCTAAATGTTGTAAATGTAAATGTAAATATCTGTATATGTACAAGTATTCACACATCCCTTTAAGCTCCTCTCATGTTGGCCTTTTAAAAAAGATGGTTCTTCGAAGGTTCTTTAGTAAAAAAAATGGTTCTATGTAGCATTATGAACACTCAATTAACCATTTGCATGCTTATAGCATTATTTGCTTGGTGAAATGGTTCTTCAGATTGATGGAGAATGTGTTCACTGCAAAAAATGGTATCTTGTCAAGTGAAATGATTTTAAATTTACTCGATATGTCTAATATTTCCCATTTTGAGATGGGTGTGCACTTATTGTAAGACTATTTAGCTTATTTGCAGCTTACTTGTTTTTAGTAATCTTTTTAATTAAAATTATCTCATTATATATATTTTTGCTGGTTTAAGCACATTTCTTACAACAAGCAGAAAAAAGCTTAAAACAAGTAAAAAATGTCTAGAAATAAGTTAAATAATCTTAAAATACGCTTACAATAATCTCAACAGGAGAAATATTAGACTTCTTGATTATATTTAATATAATTTTACTTGACAAGATATCATTTTTTGCTGTGCTGTATGTGGTTCTATATAGAACCTTTTTGAAAATGGCTGTGTAGCACCAAAAAGGCTTCTTGTACTGTGTACAAGCTTTACATTGTAAAAATAGCAGAACCCTTTTGGTGCTGTTTAGAACCATAAAGAACACATTCTCCATCAATCTGAAGAACGATTCCACCATGTAAAGAACCATTTAAGCATGCAAATGGTTCTTTGAGTGTTCATGGTTCTATAAAGTACCATTGTCTTTACTAAAGAACCCTTGAAGAACCATCTCTTTAAAAGTGTAGGTAAATATTTGGTTACAGTCTGTTTGCTTGTCTGGTCAGTTCAGTGTGTTATAAACCGATCAGGCATAACATTCTGACCACCTCCTTGTTTCTACGCTCATTGTCCATTTTATCAGCTCCACTTACTATATAGGTGCACTTTGTAGTTCTACAGTTACAGACTGTAGTCCATCTGTTTCTCTGATACTTTATTAGCCCCCTTTTACCCTGTTCTTCAGTGGTCAGGACCCCCATGGACCCTCACAGAGCAGGTACTATTTGGGTGGAGGGTCATTCTCAGCAATGCAGTAACACTGACGTGGTGGTGGTGTGTTAATGTGTGTTGCGCTGGTCTGAGTGGATCAGACACAGCAGTGCTGCTAGAGTTTTTAAACATCTCAGTGTCACTGCTGGACTGAGAGTAGTCCACCAACCAAAAACATCCAGCCAACAGCATCCTGTGGGCAGCGTCCTGTGACCACTGATGAAGGACTAGAGGATGACCAACACAAACTGTGCAGCAGCAGATGAGCTATCGTGTCTGACTTTCCGTCTACAAGGTGGACTGACAGGGTAGGAGTGTCTAATAGAGTGGACAGTGAGTGGACACAGTGTTTAAAAACTCCAGCAGCACTGCTGTGTCTGATCCACTCAGACCAGCACAACACACACTAACACACCACCACCACGTCAGTGTTACTGCAGTGCTGAGAATGATCCACCACACAAATAGTACCTGCTCTGTGAGGGTCCATGGGGGTCCTGACCACTGAAGAACAGGGTAAAAGGGGGCTAATAAAGTATCAGAGAAACAGATGGACTACAGTCTGTAACTGTAGAACTACAAAGTGCACCTATATAGTAAGTGGAGCTGATAAAATGGACAATGAGTGCAGAAACAAGGAGGTGGTCAGAATGTTATGCCTGATTTGTGTGTGTCCTACATGTGTGACTCACCAAGACAGGTCCTGTGTTTGTGTAACATATGTGGTGAAATAAAGTGGTTCTGGTTCTGGTTCTGAAGATGCTGATGAAGGAGCTGCTGGCTTTGTGCCATAAACCTGCTGCCCAGTTGTGTCATTGCATCATGCGGACGGATGTCTGCACAGGAAGGAAAGAGTGGGAGCGGAAAAGGCAGAAATGTGATTCAGCACAGCTGACGCGGTAGCAGCTTGTTTTTTTTGTCTTCTTTTTAGGATGTTGAGCGGACTGAAAACTGACCAGTCCTTCCTTCCAGTCTCGCAGGCCTCCTGACCAGCCAAAGGTTCACATCCTCTATAGGTCACTCTGATATGAATGGAGTTCATGCTTCAGGATGAAAGCCACTATCACACACAACTTCACCAAAAATGCTAAATTAAGCAGGGAAAAAAATCGCCCTGCAGCTACAAGGCTACTGCTAACAAGTAATGGAAGCTAACCCCTCAATTAGCATGCTGCTAACTGCATGTCTGAATCATCACCCGCTGTTCTGAAACAGTGTTGAGGTGTTCAGTGTCTCTAATAGACCTGATTATGAGGTTTCTGACCCTGTAAGACTCACTGTGATCTATAAACATGGACTACAGGACATTAGCATAGCTAAACACAGTAGCAGCTACCTGGAAGCCTGAATTCAGCCTGTACTTTTGCCCTTTTTATACACAATAAAAGTCAATAACAAAACCAAACAAGCAAATATGAAGGAAGTTTGAAGGGAAATTCCACGAATCTTTCAAAATTCTAGTATAATCCAGCGTTTGAGATGTAGACAAAGTGATTCAGAGTGGTTTGGTGTGAAATGGTTCAGATGTCTTTACAGTGGTGGTGATAGGAACCAGGGGTCGCCATGACTACAACACAAATATAGACATTTTATTTACCATCCAGAACCACCAGTGAACCTACACGAGTCTTCTGAGTTTATATGGAATGTTGATGATGGAAAATAGTGGAAAATCTGAAATAATAAGTTTTCTTTAAGGACTATTTTGCCTCACAGCACCCTGCATATGATTTATCCCTCCACCATGAATGGAGTTTAAGGCCAGAACTATCATAAAACAGTGTCTCAGTCATCAGGCAGTGAATTCATAACCATTTCATGTAGTAACTTCCTGTGAGGGAGCTTTTAGAGGTGGACGTCTGGTTCCTATCACCACCACTGTGAACAATTCTGACTCAGTAAGTTTCTCTAGAACACAAAACCACTCTGAACGACTCTGTTTACATCCAAAATGTTTAATTATACAGAATTTAAAAAAATCAGTATGTCTGAGTAAGTCTGGCTACTGTATCTCAGCTGTGCTAGTGTCTGCACTGACCTTGAGATTGTTCAGAGTGCATACTTATAAGTCTACACTGAAACACCACCCTGAAAGCAGCACCTCACTCAGACTGTAGTCTCTATGAACCCATAAACTGCACTGTAAAGTAGATGTGAGGAGACTGGAGGTTGGAGGTGCTCAGAAACTGGAGCAGAGGACACTGGGATGCTCTAATAAAAGCACAGCTTCTATTATCTTCTGTTCAGTCTCCATGGGGGGGGCGACTGTTCTATTTTTTAACTGTCACATGTTTCCCCCATGGGCCGAACTGTTGATGAAGTAACCCATTTTACACATACTGCCACGCTGGCAACAGAGTCAATATGATTTTCCTGCTAGTCAATTCATTAAAGGGCCCATATCTTCCAGAAACAAGTTTTCCTCAATATCTAATACAATAAGACCTTGATGTAGTATGTAAACATTGTTAAAGGGCCCATATCTTACATTTTTCTTACGTATTGCTTCTCCTCACCCACAAAGCCGAGGTCCACTTATGATATTTATGTGGCTTTATGTACAAAAACATAATTCACTTCCACAAGATCATTTTCAGCCTCTCTTTATCCCTTAGAATTAAACAGGCTGTTTCTGTTACTGTGCCTTTAAACCTGATATATATCGCTGCTGTCGGAACAAAACCTCGTATCCAAAATGATACCTTTACAGGAGAAG